TATATACAACCTACAAACAACACTGGAAAAAAATAGTTTAGGATTTATTTTGAAACCATTTTTTACTCAAAAATTGCTAGTAAATTTTAACAAATAATTACAAAGAAACAGAACACAACATTTTGAAGTAGAAAGACTGAAATAGTGTTTTCTTGTAAAACATACACCGAAAATCTTTGTTTCATTTAGAGCTTTTTATTTAGTGAAGGCAAAAATAAGGAAATCTGCCAAAAGTCAAAGTGTGCATGTGGGGAAATCGATGTTTGCCCATAATACACTCAATTTCTCTGCTGTCAGTTTCTTTGAAAATTCTTTATTTCGGCCATTAGCTTCACTGCAGAAGGAACAGAATCCTTGTGCTTCTCTGTCACCCTTAAAGCTGAGCGATCTCACTGCATTCCAGCTCCATCAGCAAATGACACAGCTATGTGAACTGACCTTCATGGCACTGGTCCCTCTAACATAAAACCCCATATCCCTATTTAAAGACAATCTGGAGCTCATTCACGGGCATTCATACAGTGCCAGATCAATCAAGCCCAGTGCCTCTGTGGGGAACCACTGTGAATGAGAGGTTAAAGAGGGATGTGAACAGAGAGGTTATCGTAATCACTTCACAGGAAATGGCACATGGTGAATAAATGGATTCATCTCAAAAGCTTGATGTCTTGTTATTGCAGTGTTCTTCGGGTGGAGTTCACACTCTTGGTTGTTTATTGGATAGCTTAAAAAAATTATTACCTTTTTTTACTAGAATGTCATTTACATTGATTTTAGCATGGTATTATTGATTTGAATATGATATGAACAGCACAATAGCTGTGTCAGTGGGAAAGAAACCAAGTCTTGCATCACGGCAACGATTTAGACGACACTCTTTCGATTTGTACCATCTGTCATTATCCTTCTAGAGATTTGTAGCTGAGCATTTGAATTAGAAAGCATTATTCATAGGATAACTTCATCCGCAATGCTTACGCTGGCTCCGTCGGAGGAAAGCAGGAAAAGCAGGCTGAGGGATAAAGGTGCTTCCCGCTTGTTCATCGTCTTGATGAAAAGGGAAGGAATCACACTAGCGTGTTTTGCATGCATTGTAAGGACCAAGTGAACGATAACAAAAAAGTAAAACAGAAATGTAATTTCCAGGCTATATTTAGGGGTAGTGAAGATGGATATGTCATGTTAAACGAAGGGAGGTTCTGTGAGAAAGCATGTAACACTGTGAGCTGTAGTGGGAGGAAGACTTTGATCTGATCTTCACACAGTGCAGGAAGTGATGTGTCACATTAGGTGTGATACATGCGTTTCTCATCTGCTCATTTATTTCACAACTTAAAATAATGTACAAAAAATGGGTCCTGACCTTAACTTCACTTAAGCATGGCCTTGCTTATTTTTGCTACAGTAGGATTAGGCCAACCTTTTAGGCTAATAGCACACTGCAGTGATCACATACTTTTGAAGGCCAACATGAAAGTTTCCATCATGCTGGTTTCCTCGACAAAAAAAGGATTTTTCCATTGGCTTTCAGATTATTTCAGAAAATAAGCTCTGTGACCAACAAAAGTTTATGATCCTTGTGCGTTTTGTTCATTATGATATTCTTCACATGTGAACAACTTTGTGAATTTTGAAGCCCAAATAGAGTCGTCAGAGGCTAAACATAGTCTATAAATGAACTATACCACAGTTGCATGACTTCAATGCCACCATCACTAAGCTTCTGGAAACTCTTTCAGTCTTTATTTAAAGGGGTCATATGATGCGATTTCAAGTTTTCCTTTCTCTTTGGAGTGTTACAAGCTGATTGTG